ACCAAAAAAAAAAAAAAAAAAAAAAAAAAAAAAAAAAAAAAAAAAAAAAAAAAAAAAAAAAAAAAAAAAAAAAAAAAAAAAAAAAAAAAAAAAAAAAAAAAAAAAAAAAAAAAAAAAAAAGCCAGCTTAAGTTAGTGGTATTTTCTTCCTTGAAATAACATACTGGTCATATGAAAGTCACTGAAGAGGTCTGCTTTTAGCTCGGAAGACTTTTACAGTTACAGCTGAATTCAAAAGCCCTAACTCCAAATGTGTGATGTTAACACAAAAACTGAAAACATAAAACCTGGGATAAAGAACAAACTTGGCTGTTAAGATGCTAGCAGTTACGTGAGGCCTTTCATGCCTTTACCATAACATTGTAAGTTCTTCAGTATCTTTCCCACCACCATTAGTTCAAAATTCACAAGGTTCTTTAAAATACTAATGGGTTAAATTAAAACCAAGCTCCATACACTTGTAATGTCTTCTGTGAAAGGTCTGAAGCCACCCTGTTTTAATTATTTGGTTATTCAGTGCAGAAGGTTAAAGACCACAGAAGGTATAACAGCTTTTAATACTCCATTAATAGTATAGATTAAAAATTATTGCATAGTCTTATGCATTCCCTAAAACAGCGTTCTCGGGAAATTAAACATTTTAATATAAAAGGAGCAACTCTTTAAAACATAAATTGCTTTCACTACCTCGATCTTCTATCCTTTTTTGATTTGTCAGTACATTTGTCCATTGTTTTCTCATTGTCTCCTCTGCACTTGGGGCAATACCACTTCCCCTTCGGTTTGTAGGTGAGTCCAACACAGGAGAAGTGGAACCACTCGATGGGGCACTGTTCATTGTCACATCCTATCATTTCGCCGTAAGACACTTGGTTACATAAGCAGTAAGTTGGTTCATTGGGATCAATTGCAAACTCTACAGGTGAAACCTCCCTCTCCTGTTTGGCTTTGGAGCGTTTTTTCTTCTTGGAAGATTTTGACCTCTTTTCCTTAGGCGGCTGATCGTCGCAGTCGTCGATACCATTGGCTATGTGGCACAGGTCACGGCTCTCGCTGGTTCGCTGGCGACGGGGCCTGCGGGAAGATCTCTCTGGCTGGCACGACTCCATCTTGGCCTTTTCCAGGGGCTTTTCGTTCTCTGACAGATCTTGAAAACACTGAGAGTGTGTTTCCATTTGACGGGCTCTGTTCTCTACCAGTTCTAGCATCTGAGTAACTATCTGAATTTTTTCATCTCCAAGTTCTTGGCTGTTGATTAATGCACGCTGAAGATGCTGCTGTAAGCGTTTTTTCTGAACCGGGTCATTTTCTGACTTGTATTTTTCATAGACATCATCTATTTCTTTTAACGCTTCTATAAAATAAAGATAATAATAGGAATAATTACACAGGGTGGAATATGCTCAAGAAAACAAAGGAATGTATTTCTAACTGATGAGAAATAGTAAAATTTCAATTATAGTATACCCTAGTGGGTTAGATAGGATATATTATTCAAGTTACAGTGGTCATCAAATCGGTGTTAAGGTCACAATCTGTTGCAAGAAAAAAAATTCTCAAGTTCTAAGAAAGAGCAAGCTTATTTTAGCCATTGGGAAAAGAAAGGATAACTCAAGAAATGGGACACCATAGTTGCTGATGCATGGATAATCCAGATCCTCCTTCCATCTGAAAAAGCAGGAATTTCTGTTAAAAGTCTCTATCATAGTAATTCCAAACCCCTGGTCTAAGTACCAAGGCAATAGCTTATTTTATCACAGGGAGAAATCTTAAATTCATAGAATCATTGTGTATCATGATATATAACACTTCAGAATTAGGATACCCGGGTCCTCTGCCTTCCTCTTCTTACTCGTCTAAAGGTTTGGTATTACGGTTTCAGTGTAGTTATAAAAGGAGTATGACAACTGAAGTTACATAACAGCAAATTTACAATCCGGATGAAAATTAACTTACACCACTCAAAATGCCTTTCCTATTAACAAAACAGTTTACAGCAAGTTGCATTTTAAATCAAGGCTGAACTTTTCAGAATAGGTGACCCTCTAGAGCATCAAAGGACATTTTTAAGCAACTAGCAAATGAGTGGCTTATAGCTTGACTACCAAGCTTTCCTTCTTGCTAGTCATGCAAAATAACTGCATGAGTTGCTGTGAATTTCTCATTAAATTTGGTTCTCAGTAGCAAGTTTAATGAACCCAAATATGAGACCAACAAACACCTTATACATCAGTCTTAGTCTGTACTCTGCTGTTCTACATTGCTGGATTTTAAAATAGTATTTTCCAAGCCAAAAGCTACACTAGATCTACACATAAAGAACAGGAAACGCTTTAGAAATACTGGCAGTGCAACTTGATGCACAGTGTTAGATACGGTACTGGTGCCCTCAGAATTTAAGGATTTTATTTGAACAGGAAGGAGAACTCATAAATGGTACTGAGCTATTTACTTCTAAAGCAAGAAGATACACAGCACAGTCTATCTCTTCCTAAAGATCTGCATTTCACAAACTGGCTTTCATTTTTAAAGAATTTGTCTGCATTATACAGTAGTGAAATGATTCAAGCCTGTGCTAAATAGAAGCCACAGCTATTATCTCAATATCATTCCCAGCAATTTTTTTCCTGCTGACATCTTGAAACAGTAGCTTAAGTATGGATAGCTGCTCTTTACTTTAAATTCTGAAACCTGTATGACAACAGGAGCCAAATGCATTTTGTTCTGTTCCAGACTTTCACTAGGGGAAAATTCCTCTTGTCCGGTAACTCAATTAATCAGTATTTTCTCAATATCAGCATTCCAGCTACTATTAAAAACATTAGTTTTGTTTCCCTATATCTTCAGCTGCATTACTTGGCCGTTGCCCTGAAAAGGGGGAAAAGAAACTAAAAAAATCTTAATCTCTGCTCCTGAAAAGCATGGAGTAAGGTACTTAGTATGCTTTTGAATGAGAAAGGCATAGCCAGAGTACAATAATCTCTAGCCATATTATTTCCTACATGAAATTCTTTGGAGGGGAGCTGGAAAGTGTAGGTATAGTTACACAGATTTCCCATATTTGAAATGCTTTACCTAGAAGAACCCAAAAACAATAACTGTTTGCTTTTTCACACTGTGACAGAGAAAAACATTCACCCCACATCTGTATTCCATAAATGCAGCCTGTAAAGATTTAAATGGATCAGCATCACTAAAGAGAGGAAACAACTTTATGACTGACAGAGATGGAAGTTTACCAAATGCTTTGTGAGTCCCTAAGATTAGAGAAGGCACCCATACATTGTAATAAACAGCTCTGAAATCCCTGTTGAAGGAAAACGAAAAACAAACCCCAAGAAACCTCAACCCAACACAAACCAGGGCCAAGTGTTCATTACAGATAATCTGATTAAGTTTGGTGGAGCTAATGAAAGCTAAAAGGATTTGTTTTCTAAGCACATGAGTGACTTTGTTCCATCTGCACAGACTATCACTACCTTTCAAATTAGCTGAAATAAGAGAGCATTGCTTTTACATCTTAAAACCTGGGCCTAAAATAGTTTTATCCATTTTTGGGGGTCTTGGAGATTTTTTGTTGTTGTTTTTTAAAACAGTTGAAGGTTTTGGTTAAAACTAGCAACAAACTTCCGCTATGGCCCGGTATTGTATTAGCGACTAGATGTTACATATATAGGGGATGCAGCCTAAATAAAAGACTGAATCTATACAAAGCAGATGAGCGCTGGATAGTCACCACCGATCAGGAGGTAAAGAGCCTGCTAGGTATTCCGGCCTTGACTAGGAATTCCAAGTGCTGCAGGCAAGTCTATGCCCTTTAAACCCCCAGGAAACTTACAAAAGCCTGTCCTCATGTATCCTTCCGGGTAATTAGAAAGATAATTGGAAGAATCCCTTCCCGACAGCCGCCTCCTGAGGTGGCCATGTAGCGTCTGAGAGGCCTTGGCGCTTCCCTCGGTCCCCTCCTGCCCTCGCCGAAGGAGGGAGATGCGGCTCCAGTGCCGACTCCAGGGGACCAAATTCCTGCCTCATGGCAGGGCAGGCCGGCAGCTGCCGGGCACTGCTGCGCGCCGCGAACTCCGCGGGATGGGAGGGCACTGAGCCTCTCTGCCGGAGGAGCCGAGCCTCCGGAGAAGTTCAGGGCAACTTCTCGCTCCGCGGACCCCCTCCACGACCCCGGGGAGCGCTGCTGGCGCCTTGTGCATCCCCCGCCGCCCCGTGCTGTGTACGCGGGACGGGGGCAGGGCCCCGCCGGGACCGGCGCCCCCGCTCGGCGGGCAGAGCTGCGGAAAGGCCGATTCCCGCGCCCCCACCCCCAGCGGCACCGCCGGCGGGGCGGAGCGGGAGCGGCCCCGCACGGCAGAGCCGGGGCCTAGCGCTGGGCAGCGCCGCCCCCGGAACGGGGCCGCCTCGCCGGCAGGGACCGGGAGCCCCCCCGGCCCCCGGCACCGCCCCGGGCTCAGCCCCGCAGGGCCCGGCAGGGTCCGCCCGCGGCCCTGGCCCCTCCGATCCAGGCGCATGTGCGGCGGGCGGGCTGGGCGGGCGGCTGTCCCCGTTCCCCGCTGCCCCTTCCCCGCGGGCGCCCACCTTGGCACTGCGTGTCCATCTCCCGCAGCAGCGAGGCGTTGCGCTGGATGTCCAGCGGCAGCGACTCCACGCACTCCAGGTAGTCCTGCACGTAGAGCGAGAGCAGCCGGGCCCGCTCTCCACCCGGTGCCGCCGGCCCGGCCACCAGCTGCGGCCCTGCCAGCATCATCCCCCCACGCCAGCAGCACATCCGCCGGCACCGCGCCGCCCGCACCGGGCGCGGGGTCCCTGCGGCGGCCCCGCTCCCTCCTCCTTCTCCTCCTGCCGCCGCCGCCCCTGTGCCCGCGGGCGGGCGGGCGGGCGGCCGCGGTGAGCGGTAAGCGGCGGTGGGTGAGCGCTCCCCGGCCCGGCCCGGCCCGGCCCCCCCCGCCCCGCGGCCCCCGCGCCCCTTCCCGCGGTGCCGCCGCCGGAACGAAACCCCCGCTCGGCGCCCCCGCCCCTGCCAGCCGCGCGCATGCGCGAGGCCCTGCCCTTATAAGGCGCGGCCGGCGGCGCCGCCAGGGGTTCGCATTCTCCCGCCTTGCCCTCGCGCGCGCTCCCATTGGCTCGGTCCGCCGCGAGGGGCGGGAGCGCGCGAGGGGCGGGGCCGCCCTTAAAGGCGCAGGGCCCTCCGCCTCAGGAGTCGCCACCTGAGCCGGGGATCCGGCGGCGCCCCGGGCGGGAGTTTGGACTGTCCCTGACCGGAAAAAAAAGCTGCCCGATTTAGCTTTACAGAAAAGCGATGGTGGTTTGTGATATACTGTGACCTAGGGAAGCTGAGTCACATTTCGTCCTGATTCGAGGAATCACTTCAAGTGTTTTTTTTTGCCTACCAGCAAATCTCCAGAATTTGACAGAATATCCTGTCTTTTCCAAGGCTGTTGAAGAGTCTGTATCAAATGTTTGCCACAACAGTTATAGTAGGAAACAATAGTAGAAAAATACTTTCTAGCTATATACCTTTTAGCTACATAATTTTTCCTACTGGAAGAATGATATAAAGGGGTTAGAACTACTAAAAAGTTTCAATTTCATTGCCACTTCTCTTTCAGACATTTTTCAGGAGAGGTTGCTCACAGGGGTTGTATAGTCTTCTTTCTTGGATATTTTTGGGGCCTAGCTGGCTGAGGCCTGACAGGACCTGATCCGGCTGTGAAGCTGGCTCTGCTTTGATGGCCTCCAGAGAATCCTTCCAGGCTCCTTTCTTCCTGTGATTCTGTCACTGTGTGATCTGTGCCAGATGGCTCCATGGTGAGTCCCTACAGCAATATTAGCAGACATGATGGCAGTCTGCAAGTGTTATTTTCTAAAGACCCCGGTTCACAAAGATATTTAAACACATTCCTAACTTCCAACTCATGCAGCTGCTAAGAGGGTGTTCTATATGGCAGTGATTTTCATATATCTGTATCTGAGCTGTTGAGTAATTGTAGCTGCAGACAGACAGCTTTGCCCAAGCCAGTAATGTGTTGGCAAGTTCATAAAAATGAATGGAAACAAAGCTGTAGGCAGTACTTTCGAAACACTCTTTATTACGCTGATGTCACTCTGGCCAAAAAAACAGGAAGTCTGTAATTCTGTGCATTCATGTTCTTAAGAGGGCACCCTCATCTTAAAATCTGTAACACCTGTAAAACCAGCTGCTTTTTTTTTTTTTTTTTTTTTTTTTTTTTTTTTTTTGTGTGTGTGTGTGTGTGCATTGTTACAGCTCAGGTTAATGAAGATAAGCCTCAGATCATTTTATGCTACTTGTCTCATTTTTGCACAAATAGATTTAGAAAGTGGCAATAACTTAGTTACCTTCACTTCCATCAGCAGTATCCCACTGAAACTTTACTGTGTAGCATTCACTGCTGTCACTTCTGAGTAACTGAAGTAACCGAGTAACTGAAGGTTGAATTCTTTGATATAATATTAACAGATGACACTTACCGTACAGGCAAAAACCACTACCTGTGCACCAGTGTAAAAGGACCTGACCTGAATTAGTAGAAGTGATACAATGTTCTTGAGAAAGATGTAGGCTGTTTTGAGGGGTTGTGTTTCTGCTTACAGTATGTTTGAATGGCTCTATCATTCTGTACCATTTATAAGGAAATAAAGCTGAGAAATAGGAGATTTCCCTTACAGAGCAGAAAAAAATAAAGCAAAAATGTTCGTTCAAAATTAACTTCTTGTTTAAAATTAAACCTTAATTATGATTAAATGTTAATTTAAAACAAACATTTTGGCATAACTTTTTTTTTCCCTCTATTGGTAAAGAAATAGCCAAGACAGTATTTTTAGAATAATTCATAACATTTGTTACAGGTAGCTTCTGTGCTAAAAACTTGCTGTTTGTCACTATGTGGGAAGCAGTATCTAAGGTACAGCAGAGACGTATGATGATTCCTGAATGTAAGTGTTGTTGCTGCTTTCAAACACTGAAATGAAGACTAATATTTTGAGTGGCTTTAAGAATGCAGTAGCAATGTTAGACTAGATGTCCCTAGGAAAAGGAAGCCTTAGCTTGCTGCCTGTTTGAAGCCTCAGAGGAAAGGAATGCAGGAGTAACAGGCTGAATTCTCTGTGTTGCCCATGTCTCAAAATGGGAGAATTTTGCTGTATTTGACTCAAGTTTGCAAGTTGATACCTCTACAACTCAGCTATGTCCCTCCTCTCACTGACTGCACGTGAGAATAATGTGGCTGTAAGAGGAGACAAGGTAGGGCAGAACTCTGCTGTTTGTAGAGGTGGAGAGGCCGAGCAACCATACATTTCCACTAACACCTTGTGCTAAGTGGACAATTGTCAGCAAAGGTTGACATATGTGGTGATATCAGGGATGTGGTATTGGGGTGTATTGCATAAGACCCATCTCAATGATTGTTATTCCAAGAGTAAATAATACACAGACGTCCTATATCCAATTTATTTAGATTTATTTATATGTCTCTAAACTAACCCCAGTTTTCATGGAGAATAGATCCCAACAGAAACCCCAGTCAGAGTATCCCTCTTCTTTTTGTGAAAGATTATCTCGTTGTATTATAGATTTTAATGTGATAAAATATTTCCAGAGATTTGATACAAATCTTATTTTCCCCATTTGTGGTTTTGCTTCTCATCTTTCACAGTCCTGATTTTACATCCTCAGATGACATCTGATTCCTGTCCTATTTCACCTAATAATACACAAGTTGGTTAGATTTTTTTTTTGGCTTTTCATTGATAGTCCAGGAAGTGTTCCAGCCTGTGGAAAAAAAAACTCAAAACCAAAACCAAGCAATCAAAAAACCAAACCAAAAAACTACACACACACACACAAACCCAAACCAAACCAACAAAAAACAAAAAAAAAAACAAAACAAAAAAAAAAAAAAAAAAAAAAAAAAAAAAAAAAAAAAAAAAAAAAAAAAAAAAAAAAAAAAAAAAAAAAAAAAAAAAAAAAAAAAAAAAAAAAAAAAAAAAAAAAAAAAAAAAAAAAAAAAAAAAAAAAAAAAAAAAAAAAAAAAAAAAAAAAAAGAAAAAAAAAAGAAAAAAAAGAGTAGAATTATTGATGGGGACACATCCATAAGGGACTGTAATTATGAAAGGCCTATTTATTTAGCATTTAGTAAAAATGCTAAGATGATGATAACAGGGTGCTTTTAAGCGAAAGAACTGATTTTTGATGATATATATTTCTTGGCAGAAATGCTTCTCTGGCTTCCATGGTATGAAGAGGATGAAGAATTGTCCAAGATACCAAGAAAATAAACCCAAAGAAAAGAAAGAATGAGTACAAGCTAGATGGACTCTTTACAGAGTCAGCTGAAGGAAGCTATAGGCCATAGCTGACTTTTGTATAGATGATATTCCAGGAAGAGGCTATCCTCGCCAGAGCTGCAGAGGTACTAGTGCATTTGTCCAGGTAAGCTGTTCTCAAAAGCTTCTCTATTTGTTCAGGTAAGCCATTCTCAAAAGCTTTTCTAACATCAGGCCATCCAAAATAGATAATTCCCTGTAATGCCAGACATTGCTTTTGGTTTTCCTTAAATATTAGGCTTGATTTATCTAGTGGAATACAAATCATATGAACACAAACATTATTATTTTTTTCTTTTGTTTACACAAGTGCAGAACACCTAAAAATAAGACATGGGCTAACATCAGATTATTTCAATATGATGATAAACTAAACAGTGCATTTCCTGAAAACACTGGCATGTGCTTTTTTCCCTGTTCGCTTCATCTTCAGCTGTACCAAAAAGCTTTCTAGTACTGAGTAACAAACATCCCACACTGATCAGGAGATATATGTTCTTCCTCATCTAAATGCAAACATCTCTTCAAAAACTGGAGAAGTTCCTGTTTTCTGCCAATGTGCTCTAAGAGAAATCTCTTCCCGACCCTGAATTAGTAATCAGTTGACTGAATTAGTAATCAGTATTAACATGGGGAAAAGGCAGCTACAATATCCTGCTCAACTTTTTTCTTTTAAAGGAATGGGTTCTGCTTATCTCACCAGGAGCAGACTGAAGAATGGAATAAAGTGTGCAAACTAAGTTTACTCTGTGCTCTGTTTTGTAATAACTATTTATCTGTTTTTTTACAGTTCTTTCTATTCAGTTTCCATACTTTAATGCCATGGCTGTATCCAAAATATTTCGAGAAGATGATAGGCCCAAGGCAGGACATGTTAAGGAATTGACTTTCATATGACATCATTGCTTCCATGAGAGCATAGTGACCTGTTGTCACTTTGTTTCGAGCAGAACCTGCTCCTGAGAGTATAAGCTGTGTTTGTAATACCCTCTGGAAATCATGAGGAGCTGGACAGCACCAGCTTCTCACAGGTCCTATGGAATATGCTTGGCTGGCACAGGAACTGCAGCTCCTTAGAGGAGGGAGACTCTGCTGACCAGCTGAGGAGCAGCATTCTGGTCACAGTGATGACAGAGCCACATGGATCATTTCCTGTAATTTACAACATGGATCTGTCCACTTGTGTCTCAGGTAATACTTTCCTGTCTTCCTCTTCAGGAAACTGCTTTCAGACAGTGACTCTTCTTCCTCACCTCGTTTTAAAGCATAAATGATCAGTGGATTTGCTTTCCAGCTCCAGAGCCAATCACCCTGCCAAAGAACACAGGAAGTGTGCAGATGACGTTTAGGGAAGCCAGATGAGGAATGATAACATGCTAATCTTATGCAAATATGTACTAACCACCTTTCTTGTCTTAGCTCAGC